TGGTTTGTTAAGATGGATTTCTAAGGACAAAGTCGTTCTGAAATCATTTCAAACTTTAAGTTGGGATGACGATAATAAATCTAAAATAACATTACATTTTGTTTTAGCAGTATTCTTATATTTCTATACCTCAAAAAAGCAAACTTTATTTCCGAACCGACAAATGTGTTCAATCTCAATTATGTGAAAAGGATAATGCTGAAGACCTCGCTTGCGAATGATAAGCAATTTCTTCAGAAGGCGTTTAGCTTTTAAATACTAATTAAAGAATACGCGGACCGATTTAAAGCATGGATCTAGTTGTGAACGAAGACTAGACGAAATATCAGCTGTTATTAAACAAACAGTCAGCGTTTGCGATGACTTGGTCATAATTTTGAAGTCGTAGATAATTTCGCCTATGTTGAAACCAGCATTAACACCAACAATAATGTCAGTCTCGAAATCCTACAGAGAATAACTCTTGCCAACACATGGAGTCCTCTCCCGACGAACAAAGATCAATCTCTATAAGTCATTCATTGGAGGATGACAACATCTGATGAGTCAACGTTACGAGTTTTCGAGAGAAAGGTTTTGCGGAAACGACAACATTGGCATAGTTCAGCGAAATCAAGAGACAACGGATACGACATGTTGCTAGGATTGAAGAGCACACTCCACGTTTTAAGGTTTTTGATTAAGCACCCATCTGTGGAAGCAGAGGAAAACCGTCCATTGGAAAATCCGGAGAAAGACCTGGTTACACTTGGGTCATGTTGTCTGGATGAACGAAAACACTTTAACTTTCAATGTTTTCGACCCGTTTGGCAAAGGAAGATCTGCACTCCGTTGGAAAGACCAGCTGGAGCCGGGCTTGGCTGCATTTAGTATCTCGAATTGGCACCAAACCAGTAAAGAAGTGGACGAAATATGGATGCATATGTAGTTTTTTGCTATTTTGAAAGAAAAATGCATATTAAGTGGTCCTATTTGAATAATTGACACCAACAACTCAATGGTGACGAAAACAACCTCAACAATTGGCACGACAATTAAAACATGCAATTTTGCTTATTTCACAATCGTACAATTGTTTAAGAGTTGAACAAGCGATGCTTTTGATAAAGCCACTATACACATTTTTATGGCCATATCTGTATAATTACGAAAATGCTCAAACACACAACAAATAAAGACAACAAAAACAATTTGCACAACAAAAGTGTGTAAGCTTTCTTATTTCGCGAACAAAAGTGGCTTGCTTAAGAAGTGGTTTGACTAAAATTGTACAAGAAAGTTTAATAAAAATTTTGTAACACTTTTTTGGACGAAAAAACGCCTTAAACGCGGTAGATGGTCCATAACATTTTTGTTAGGAAAACCAAATGAAAACAATAGCCAATAACAATAAAGACATAAAAATTTATTGACTTGTCGTGTAGACGACCAACAAAACAAAAACAAAAAGCAAATAAAAATTAAACGAAATAAAAAAAACAAAAAACAAATTCAATTGTATTTATTTATTGCCAGACCGAACAATTTATTATTATTGTGGCGTTGTGTGTCAGCGCCGTTCGCCGCTCGCTTCGGCTTGCTGGCAAAGAGCAGCCGAAAGAGCTGCAAGCTCGGGTTCAGAAAGAGCACCAACAGGTGTAAGAGTTCACAGGAGACGCACAGAAACGCACAGCCACATACAAAAGTATGTCTACATATACATATTTATACTTATTGGTAGATATGTGCATATGTATTGGTGTTTGTTGGACTGCGGCGGCTTCTAGCTGCGTTTTTATTCAATAATAATTTGTCACAGATTGAAATTGTCTGTTGAAACAAGTTTTTGTTCAAGCAAATATGACTTTGCTTGCAACAATCCTGTCTTTCAGCGTTGAGCAGCGGCAGCGGTGCTCAGCTTTAGTGGCTTTGTAAACACACACACGCGAATACTAATACTACATAAATGTATACATATGTATGTATGTATTTTGTAAGTTGGAATGAGTGTGCTTATGTATGTATGTCGGTAAGTCACGTGGTGAGTTATTTAAAATGCTGAGGGAGGTATGTTAGTTAAGTTGCAAGTTGTTGTCATTATTTAGTAAGTCGGAATAAGTGCAGTTAATTAGTGAGTTTATAAAATACTCGCACTTGGCACACCACTGTAGGATTGTGTGTATACTTTTGTAAATATTTCTAATGCAGAAAAACTTATTTCGACGATGAGGAAATATAAGCGGCGAGCTAAGAGACTAGATATTGCCTTTTCAAATTTGTGATTGACATAGCTTGCTCTAGATATGTTTCATCTGTTACTTTTATAATAATAAATCAAAGCTTAAACATTTCCAAATACATTTCTAAAGCAGCTGATTTTTAAAAATCTTATTTAATTTTCCCAAGAAAAAAAAGTATTAAAAAAAATGTAAATAATTAAAAATAATTTTTTTTAAATTTAAATTAATCCAAAAAAAATATTTTTACGAAATGTTTTTTTTTATATTTTCAAAGTTTAACTATTCAAGAATACATCTACAAAAGAATTTTGAAAAATTGTTATTATTTTCGTAAATATAAAATGTAACAAAATAGCACCCATATTTTATTTAATGAAAATTGGGTAGATGATATCTCAAAAAAGTATATTTTACTAAATTGATCTAAAATATTGTATTTGTGACCAAACTTCGTGTGGTGATTTAGTTTTATCAAAAACAAAAGCGTACGAGTAATACAAAGCCTTCAAGCACGGTCGATGGAACGTTGAAGACATACCTCGTTCTGAACGACCTTCAACCTGTTCAGCTGATGAAAATATTAAAAAAAGTGGTGTTTGAAAATTGTCAGGCATGTGTTAGGGGATGACAAGAAAACTTAACATCTCTCGCAAATGCGTTTAAACGATTTTGGTGGATATTTTGGGTATAAAAAGCGTTCTTGCGACTCGTCCTAGATTTTCTTCAAAAATAATACCGTAAACAGGTCTCTTTGGACATGCTTCATCGCACAAATTACGATCCCACATTCATGGAGAACATTATAATTGCCGATTAGACATGGATTTATGCGGGGGAAAATTAGCCGAAACCAGAAAACACGCCAAACATGTTCAAAAAGCAAGGCAATGCTCAATTATTATCAATATATTCGTGGTTTGGTGCATCAAGAATTAGTTCCGGAGGGACAAACGGCCCACAAGGAGTTCTATTTGGTCATATTGAGAAGTTTGCGTGAGAAAATCCGTCTAAAACGGACGGAACTTCGGAAGAACAATTCATTGATTTTACACGATGATAATGCACCATCGCATCGAGCCATGATTGTCACCGATCGATCAACCATAAAGTGTTTATGGTGAGTGTTTCGAGGAATGGAACAATCGTTGGCATAAGTATATTAAATCTGGTGGAGACAAAATAAATTTTCAGCCGGAACTAAAATTTAGACGCGATTTTCTTGTAGCTGTCTTCTTCAAAGCCATACCCACGATTTCTCAGGTTATACTGCACCGATTTAGCTGTAATTTTAAAAGAACTTCTTTCTTAGACTCTCTATAGCCTGTAACTATGCATATCCCCAAATGTTACTGTTTCAAAAATTCCAAACAGTCTCTTTTACGGCCAGTTATGGTCGCGTGCCAATTTTTTGAGATCCTACTTTTATCAGTTGCTAATTTTTTAAAGTTTTTTATTTTTTGATTTTTTCTTGTATTCGTTATAATTTTAATAAATAGGTAAGAAAAAAAGGGGGGAAAAATTAATTGCATGCCACTTTAAAAAAAGCTCAAATTCTTGCCTCTACAATTTTATTTTAATAATTTTTGCTAATATGTTGGAGAGCAGTGAATCGAACAAGTCATTGGCAAAAATGACATAGTACACTGGTATAAAAAAATGGATATAAAATAATTAGCGATTATACCTCTTTAATGTTATAAAAATTATATACCAGTGTAGGTGACTTATGCTAATTGCTTGTTCGGTTCGGCAAAGAAGTGGCGCATCGAAGGCGGCTAACAACAAAAATGAAGTGAAAATATATTATAGAGACAAGTGCACAATAATATATTACTGTTGCAAAAGAAAGGACGTACCAGAAACAATTCTATGCCATGACACACTATTTAGCTTAAAGAGTCGGTAACAACAATTTAACAAGTAAAAATGTTCAGTATACTACCCTAATATAAACTTAAATTAAATTAAGTCTATTTGAGGATCTAAGTCCCAAATCTTTGACTATAAACCATAAGAAATATCTGCCTCTATCCAGCTAACAAACTCAGCCAGTATCTTCCCAGCGGAAGTACTAAGTATAGAGAATGCTTGTGGTGCTCCATTGAATAACTACGGAAGGATGCAGAAAGCAACCAAATACACGGATAGATAAATGGCATTGCTTGTCTTGACGATGCCACAAATTAATTGAAGTGTAGTCCACAATTGCAGGAAGTCTTTAAGCTCACTTGCAAGTCAACTTCACTTATTCATAATTTATGTTCCGGGCCAAATTGACCAAGGTAGCAGCCTCCTTAGACGAAATCGAGGTGGGCCATACACGCTGGGAACGCTCAAAAGAAAACTTTATACATATTTTGAACAAATAGCTCATAGCAATGGGAAATCAATAACAATTTGCACGATAACGAAGCAGATCTGCCCCAAGTACTTATGATCAGGCAAGAACTAAACTTAAATAAATACTTATGACATATGTAGGTCCAAGTGTCTTAAGAACTACTTTTTTCTTGTTCTTGAAGAAACACATTCAGTTTTTTGGTAAAGTAATTAAAGAGTAAATTTTGACGTTCTTAGAGTGTCATTTGAATATATTTAACTCGAGTTTATGGCGCAAGGTGAATACTAGTTAACATTTTGAAATGTTGCAAAGGCACTTTTTGAATTTGCTTCACATTGATCGATGTAATTAGTTTCGATTAGTTTAATAAATTAAGAGAGATAAAAGTGGAAGAAATATATACATATGTATAAATAAAATAAAAAATAATTTTGACTTACATTTCATTTTGCTGCTTTAGATTGGTGTTATATTGGTGTCCAGCTGAGGTTTCCTGAATTTGGTTCGTTTTATCGTTTTTTGAGTGATGAAACCCTGAAATTATAAAGAAAAACAAACGTTAAGTTTTTGAATTTATTGTAACTTAATAATATTTATGATTCAAAAATAGTAAAAAAATTAAATTCACGTTTTCAGTTCTAATAGTTTTTAAGCTTTCCCCCTATGATCTTCAAAAACTTTCAGTTTCATAATATGAACGGTTTTCTAGAACTGCAATCTCTAAAAAAAAGTCAGATTTAAAGAAACGTTGGGTGGTTCAAACAAAAATTGTATTTCAAACCACATATTGTTTTCGAGAGAAAGGCGAATACCTCTGTCGATGGAATGATGAGTTGTATGAAATATACGACGACATTAACATAGTTCAGCGAAGTAAGAGACAGCGGCTACGCCGGCTAAGTCATGTTGTCCAAAGCGACAAAAACCGGAAGCTGAGGGTGAGCAACACTACCACTCCGTTGGAAAGACCAGATGGAGAATGACCTGGCCACAATTGGAATATCCGTTTGACACCAAACAGCGAAAAAGAAGAATATTGGTGCGCTGTTGTAAACTCGGCTATAACCGTGTAAGTATTGTCTACGGCAATAAACAAGAAATGGAGTATTAAATAATAAAAAATACGTGTAGTTTTAGAGCCACTAACTAAGAGATGACAACTGTTAAAACCGTATCTTTAATTGAGGCTTCGAATTCACGACCATAAAGCGGGAATACCGCAGTAAACACACTGAGCTGCACATACCATTAATTAAAGAGCAATAATTCTAATATAATTAATAGATTGTTCAAACTATACTGATCGCATATCTCCTGCTAGATAAGATGCGATGAACTTCCGAGAAATTATGCGGCAACACGGCATACCTCCACACATACATACATATATAGATACATAAGTAAATACAACTCTGTACTCCACAAAAACACCCACTTGTGAAGAGCGCTGCACAATTTGTCTCTTCAAACACTAGTAGGCTGCTCCATACTACAAACAAACACACACAGGCACAGTTATCAAATGGTGTGGAGCACATATGCTCATTTTGCCCTTTACTCTCTGCAATGTTGACTCTTCGGTATGGTGTATTATGTCCTCAGAATTTGTATACATTTTTTATTGCTACCTTAATAAAAGTGATCGCGCCTTCTGCCGCTCTGCTTCCACCGTTGGCTGCACATCACTGCGGCAGCTGATTACTCAAAAGTGTTTTCGAGGCGTTTATAAATGAGTGCGACTGCTGTGACAATCGGCTGAGCCAACACACATGCATACACAGACACAGCGCACAGGGTTGCAACCAGTCAGCCAACTAACCAACCACAAATTGTGTTCACTTTATATAAAAAAGTGTCTTTTTTATGATGTCTGATGAGCGTGTATGGGATGCAATAAAATGCTCATATTTCGTCTTATGATTAGCTGTTCTTGTGATCTGGTCATCTTGTGAACTTGTGTGTGCTGTGGCTGTGTTGGCCGCCCGATACTCATACTAATGAGAGATTATAAATTATGGCAATATTGCCCATCTTTTCAAATGAGATCGCGTAACTACAACCGAATTTACGTGCTTTTCATCACGCATACACACACACACACACACACGTATAAATAGAAATTCAGACACACATAACACACACACGTGATGCTTATTAGGTCTATAAAATTTTAGTAATCAGTACACGCTGTTGGAGTTGTGTAATAATTCTAGAACACACCGATTAGATTACCGAGATCTCACCAACGCTAGGTATAAGCACCTAATCTACGCTGACAATGGTTGTAGGAAATAATCTGTGATAATTTTCTAGAAATGCCTACTGCGCTGCAAGTGCATAAAACTCCATAAAAATGGTGCCAAATGTAGCCAGGAAGTAACTGAGTTGGAGGTTTTGTCTTTACTTTTTCAAAACATAATATGAATAAGTTAAATTTGATTTCTTATTTTGAAAATATATCTCCAATATGTGTTCAAGAAAAAACGAAAATTTCGGCTGCACCGAAGCTATAATACCCTTCACAAGTGACCTTTTATAGCATAAAAAGCGCATAGAAATAGCTTTATCTTCAATTCCATGTAAAATGCGCTTTCCTACAAATTAGCCAAATTAGCAGTTTCTTGATGTCGGAAGGACATGTGCAAAACTTTCGATCGGCAGGAGCCGATAATTAGCTATACGGCGGTAAAGAACTAACAAGGTGCATGCATCAGCTTCATTGCAAGATGTGATCGGATGAAAGCATGTCCGACTATTATAATCTAATTGTGCTCTAATCCACAAAAAAGGGGACCACATAATCTGCGCCAGTCAACAAACTGAATGGACCTTATCAGTGTGGCTTCAAGCACTGTAATTCAACAGCTAACCAGATTTTCAAGATGCGCCAAATCTTGGGAAATACCCGTGCAAGGAAGATCAAAACACACTACCTCTTCGTCGATCTTAAAGCGGCCTTCGAAGGCACGAAAAGAAACTGCATCTATGTCGCTATGTCTGAACTTGAACTTGATATCCTCGCAAAACTAATATGGCCGTGTAAGCTGACGTTGAGCAACACCAAAAGCTCCGTTAGGATCGGGAAGGACCCGTTCGAGCCGTTTGATACTAAGAGTGGTTTTGGACAAGAAGACCAAACTATTGCTGGCGAAAATAATACGAGCTGCAGAGCTAAATAGACAAGGCACAATGCTTTATAAAAGTGTAAAGTTGCTGGCGTACGCCGATGATATTGATATCGTTGGCCTCCACGGTCGCACTGTTATGGATCTGGTTGTGAACGAGGACAAGACGAAATAACTCCTGTCTTCAAATAATGAGTCGTCGCATTCGGAGCATGGCTCGCACGTCACTGTTGACAGTCATAACTTTGAAATCGTAGATAATTTCGTTTATCTGGGAACCAGCATCAACACCAACAACAATATCAACCATTAAATTCAACGCGGAATCACTATTGCCTTCAGACTGAGTAGGCAATTGAAAAGTATATTTCTCTGTCAACGTGCAAAAAGCCAACTCTACAAGTCCCTCATCATTCCCGTCCTGCTGTATAGTGTGGAGGCGTTACTCCAATTAGACTACGATTTTTATGCTGTTGTCGAAAACTAAGAACTAGGTATGCCTGAAAATCCCTTTTGGGAATTGGAATCAATATTTTCGTGTGTGATGATCTAAAAGTATTTGTAAATTGGTCCCAATGACTGGGTTCCACAGTGTCAAACGGAAAATATATAATAATACGTTTTGACCATTTTGAGCAAAAAATCGTGAATTTTCGATTCAGTAGTTGAGTTTTTGGTCTTTTATTCCATTTAAACATCGATTTGCTTCAAATGGAAAACTCTTTAGCCTCATTAATAACTTAACGGCAAATATAATGTATGCCTGCGGGTGACTTAAATTGCTTTAGTTAATGAGTTTCCATGTTAAATCAGCAAATACTCGAATGTACAGATTATTATGTAACTTAAGTTGGCCAAAAAAATATTATGAAATTAAAATTAATAAGAGGAGAAAA